TAATTAAAAAGTGTATCATACTTAAATCTAATCGTAGTCCATGATAGTTAAAGAACTAAGTTAAAAAAAAAAAATTCTAATAATAAAATATATAATGAAATCGCTAAAATGTATATTAATATTAACAAATTAATGGTATAAATTTAAATGTTGTACAACATTTTTTAAAAAATTAACGCAACACAATATAGAATAACTTTTAAATATTTACTTTCAATCAACTTTTTCTTTTAAATAATAATTATTTATGTTGGTTAATTCATCAATTAAAATAATGTTATAATGTAATAACTATTTAATATAAATAAAATAAAATTGTAACTACATTATATTCATTAATTAAATTATAGCTTAATTAATGGTTCAATTATAAACGAGATTAAAACATACCCAATAATTACTACTCTTAATAAGACTATAATAGCCTTTCCTTATGTGTAGCCATAAATATTTTTAATAATTGAATTAAATTACATAATGACATAAAAGTAAAAATAACATAAGAAATGCATATTTGATAATCAAAATTTTATAACATTACATAAAAATTAATAAATTTATGTAATTTTTTATATAATCCGAATAAAAAATACTTTATTCCAAAATAACCTAAAATTTAATTTTTAAAAATTATAGAATTTTAGTTTCTAATATATAGTTTTTAAGGTTACATTAAGATCTTTGCATGTCTCATCAATAAAACTTGCAATACACACACACGCATATATATATATATATATATATATATATATATATATATATTAAAATCGTTTCACGTATTTAAATATGGAATTTACACATATAAACAAACACCATGTTTTGACATAAATTTATTTGGCAAAACAAATACATAATTAAGTATCAAATAATGTAAATTGTAACGACCCCGGAAATATTAAAATAAAATGAGTATTTAAATATATCAAATGCGGAAGCGAGATCAAAATTTCAGTTAACATTCCTTACACGAAAACCAAGAACGTACTTAAAATATAAAAGATTAAACTAACTAAAAGAGAAACTCGAAAATAAAGCTATGAGTATGACTACAGAGTCTCTAGGCATCCCTTTCGTCGTCCTCCTGCGGAACGGGCTCGGGAACCATGTCTTCCTGATCTGAAATGGTTAAATAAGGAGTGAGGTACACTAGCCCAGTAAGAACATCACGATATCTCACCGTCACGGAGGTAAATGTGGGTAGAAAACACAAAAAGACCAATGGAGCATAATTCACAATAAATCCTTTTATCGATAATAAAACCTTATACCATCCACTTACCTCGGTGGAATTTATGAAACAATATAAGAAAAACAATAACATTATCATAATCATGGAATAATATAAGCTGTAAAACATAACACTTATCACGCCTCTTGTAATTCAATCATTATACAGCATATCTTTTTCTCGTTTACCAGCCTACTAGTATCCGTGGGGGTCCATAGGGGCCCCGCTACTCGTTAACCTTTAACATTCATAATCAGTTTCCAGGGCCGTCCCCATACCCCGTCCGGTATGGGCGCCAAAACCATAAACCTCAATACCCCGTCCGGTATGAGGGTGAAACGGGCCGTCCCCATACCCCGTCCGGTATGGGTGCCAAAACCATAAACCTCAATACCCCGTCCGATATGAGGGTGAAACGGGCCGTCCCCATACCCCGTCCGGTATGGGCGCCAAAACCATAAGATCTCCATACCCCGTCCGGCATGTGAGACCACAATCCCGGTAGGGTTCCCTACGGACCCGGTCCGTCCACCATCTCCCAAGATATCTAGTCAGGCTGATCCCATTACACAATTATCAATTTATACAATCTTCCATTCTTCTTTCCCTCAATCAGCATCGTCAATTCACATTTAAACAAGCAAATCGTAATTCATGCCCAACAGACAACATACAGTATCAGTTTTTCAGTCATTCAACCCATAATTAATAAAAACGTAGTATATGCACACAAATCTGTAAAATGAACACATCAAACCTCATTTTGCATTTAAAGCTGTAAACAGGCCAAATAACAGTAAATCACCAATCACACTAGACTCGGGCTCCATTAGCCACCTTAAGCAATTTCACACATTCGTTAATTCAATAAATACCGTTTTATCATTTTGAACTTTAATACCGTGATAGGAAATAGGGTGAGGGGTCCTTACTCGTTCCGGGGTCCGAACACGGCTTTACAGTGCGCTTGCAGGCTGTCCCTAATTTTCCCTGAATTTTCCTCGGGGAACTGAAACGCACTACTGGTACCTGCACGTATTCCAAAAAAATCCCAAATTAGGCCCAGGGCCCCTTTCGGCCCAAATCGCAACTCCGGCACGGCGGCTCCGCCGTGCTCCGGCGACGGCGCCGCCGCTGGCGGCGGCGAGTCGCCTCGGGTTGGCTATTTTCGGTCGTTTCCGGCCGAATTCGGCCACACTCGCATCAGTCCCTGTGAGAAAACAACCCTAGGGCCCTCGGGGGGCCAAAAAATCACGGAAAAACGGAGCTTACCGGCGGCGGCGCTCTCGGGTGCGGCGGCTCTCCAGCGAGGTTTGTGTTTTGGTGATTCGGCTCCGGTCAACCTGTAGAGAAAAGAATGGTGATCACGGTGATATAAAAATTACATCAAACGGAGGCCGGGAAGGGCCTCATCGGAGTCAAAAACCGAGAAGGGGCGCGGCGGCGCCGCTGGGCTTCGGCCGTGTATTCCGGCCGTTTGGCCGGGATTTTGGCTCCGATTTGGCCACAGAAGGAATCAACGTGGAAAAACGAGTCGGGGGTATGAAATTTACCTCGATCGGCGGTCGGAAATTTCCCCGGCGCGGCGGCGGGTGGCGGCGGCAGGCGGCTAGGGTTTGTGGTCTGGTGTGGGGGTTCTATTTATAACCCCTTGCCTTTTGATCTCAGCCGTCCATTTTGTTTTAATCTGGGCCGTTCGTTTTTGATTGAATCTGGGCCGTCCGTGCGATTGCATCTGGGCCGTCCGATCGCGCGATTGATCTGGGCCGTCCGATCGCGCCCACGCGGATCGCCAACGTGGCCCGTTCTGGAGTGACGTGGTCTTGCCACGTGGCAGGCCCCGGTTGGCCGGGATTGCTGACCGGGCCTGCCGACGTGGCTTTTTTTTTTTTTTTTGGCTCCTTTTCTCCGGCTACATAAATTAAGTGTGCAATTAATTGAGAACAAAAAATATTAACTTATACTATAATAATTAAAATTTTATTTAAAATATTTGAATAAATAATAGAACATATGAGACAAGTTAATAATTATTTAAAAATTTTGATTTTAATTATTTATTTAAATATATACTCCAATTTATTATAAAACCAATATTTATATATTTACTCGTAAATTTAAATTATAACCACTAAAAATATTTTTTTAATAAAAAATAATAATTTAACAAAAAACACATAAATTGGGAATCAAATTAAACTCTTCACTGTTTAAATCAAAATCCTACCGTACACCAGGTGAAAAACATGCATTGATGAGTTGTACGTTTAGGTAAAGGTACAAATGATTAAGCAGGAATGTTGGAGATTTTAGGGACGTGTTTTAATTAATTAATCCCCTCTCTTGATAATGTTTACGTGATAAGTTATAAGGATTAAGTTTATTTATTTTTTAATAAAATAAATATTATATATCGATTAATTTTTCTTAATTAAAAAAATATAAAATATAAAAATTTCGACATAATTTTTTATTTAAAAAAATATTAAATTATATAAAGATGTTATAATTATTATTATTTTGTAGTTGTATTATACATTAAAATATTAAATATTTAATTTAATAAAATAAATAATTTAATTTACTAATATATTTAATGATTGTACTTCGACAAAATTAATAGTTATGAGTTTATTTAATTCAAATTTGCCTGAAAATGGCATAGAGAAAACATCTGAAATGTTACCAACCAACCCTAAGAACCAAAATGAACGAAGACTCCGTACATCATATAAGTATATGTATATATATATATTTTATACACATGTGTCTGCAGCAGAAGAATAGATTTGAGCCTTTGACTGCCATACTTTTCAATTTTTCACAATGTTAAACAAAGCTTAAAGAATTCCAGCAGCACAACTAAATAGACTAATATAACATCATAGAAACTCCAAAAATACAGGAATCTCTGATTTATCAACTCAACTTCATAAGACTAAAAACTCTGAGAGAATTCTTTCAATGAATTCTATTATAATGACTCTTTCAGGATACAGCAATTCTAACAATCATAACTCTATGACTTCAAATTCAGTTTTATATAAAATCTTCCATTTTCTCACAAGACCATATATATATATACATATGTTGTTTTAAATTATAAACGTGTGGAAATTTAGAACTCAATAAATCAAAATTAGGGAAAGCACAGCGAAATTAGAACATAACATCCTAGAAATAAGTATTTTTATATAAAAAGACAAATTATCATATTAATTCTTAAATTTTGATTTTTTTTTGTTTTTTTACAATTTAGTCACTAATGTTTGTCTCATTATAATTTAATTCCTAATGTTTTTATTTATTTATTTCAAATGCCTAGTTTCTTTTTATTTTTTAACAAAAATATTAAAATATTCAAATCATATTTATATACTTTCAAAAACTAATTCAAAAAAAAAACAATATAACCAACGAGTTAAATTAATAATAAAAATTAATGATTAATTTAAACTAATTATTGAAATCATTCTTTTAAACTTTTTTTTAAAAAAAAACATCTAAATATGACCTTATCATTTTAGTTCTTTTTCATAAGAAAATATATGAAAACTGATTATTTAAAATAAATAAATAATATCAAACACAATGTTCTCATAACAAGGTTGAGCTGGAATAAGACCAAACTATGAGGATGAAACTGTAATTTTGCACTTTGCTTGCACCAAATAACTCTTACGGGGTCAAACAATTTCGTAACTTCATGTATAAAGCTGAAAGGTATGTACGTACAACGCAAGTAAAGGGAAAGGGAAAGGGAAAAGGAAAATTCCTCTAAAAGAATTCAGACATTCCGATACGATTTTCGTATCCGTGATGAATCACAAGAATACACAATCAATTAATACATATCAACCAGAGATGGATAGATACACAGAATCAAGTTCGTCACAAAAAATCTTCTGAGGAATGATATAAAACACAACGCCAACATAAATTGCTGTACTGCTCTCTAGGATCAGCCAAATTAAGATTTTGCAATATTCCTCGTGGTTTTTTTCTCAAAAGAAAAAAGAAGCAAATAAACAAACAAAAGAACCTAAAGAAGTATTAGTTTAAAGCTGTATTTGCTTACCAGTGAAGTGGAATTTCTTATGGTATCTAAGAGCATACACCTCGAATATCTAGAACCAAGTTGTGACATCAGTTGATCTCGTTGAGCTCATGCCAGCATCAAGCCAGTAAAACGGTTATGTCGACCTTTTCATATATCCTCCAAATGATGACATGTCAATTCTAAAAGAATCGGAGACAGCCAGGCAATAGATGGTAGAGAAAGAGCAATAGATCACCATGTTCTACAAACAATGAATGGGAGTGTGGAAAAATCATTCCCAAGGGAGGAGTGAAAAGAAACCCATCAGAATGGTCTAAATCAACTCCTCGATAAATATTGTAGTCCAAACATGAATCTTAGTGTTCCATTAGGGCAGTTTCGGTTTCTGATAGTGGAGCTGCAAAGGAAAAAAACAAACTTTTTAATTGGGAAAGCACTTTCTTATTGGGAGAACAAGAAAGAAATAACTAAGAAAACTATATCTTATCAGTAGCAGCATCACATTTCAAGAATATATGTCACATTTATTTGTCTAGAAACTTATTTCCTTCTTTTGGGATGGGGAGGATTGGAACAATTTTCAACCTCCTTGGATTTCTAAAAAACACCTTTATCAATGTCTTCCTATATAACATGACTAAAGTCTAACAGATAATGGACGAATCTTTAATCAGTGTAAGGATTTGCATAAGATATGTTTGGAGTTCAGGAACTGAACAAATTACTAGATGTCATTTTGTATTGATCAAAAAGCATCTAACACTCCTAATAGCACAAATAAATTTGAAACCTTAGGTGTGCATATAATTGAACTGCTTACGGACAGATCAGCATACCAAGCAAGTCTTCATAAGCATCCTCTAACAGGGATGTGTCTATCAGCAAAGGAGGGGAGAAAACCTGATCCTGAGTATCTTCAATGTCAAAAAATGATTGGTGTGCTGATGCCACACTATTTGAGCCGCCAGCTGATAGAAACCCATTTACTTGATCATATTCGTTAAATGAGTCCAGATCATCCAAAACATCTGGTATGTCATCATACTTGCTCCTAACATGATCATCCGATGCATGCTTTTCATGCAAGGAAGACTCCGTTTGAGATGCAAACAATCTCTTGCTTCTTGCTGAAGGCCTTTTATTTTCTCCAACTAAACGAGAAAAACCACTTACTGAAAGAGGCACAAAGAAGTGCTCAGAGCCTTCATCAGAGTGACTGTCTCGAGATGATTCTGAATTACAGGATGGCACTGACAAAGCAGATTCCCTTACAGATCTCTTCAAGTTATGAACATAAGAACTATCACTATCTGCAATTACATATAACTGAGCGTCAAAATCTCTGAATGAACCTGTTCATGATTTTGAGAGTCAAAATCTCTGAATGACTTTTAAGATTAAATTTTATTGCTTAACTTATAAAATAAAATGCCAGCAGCAAGCCAGTATATGATCAAACAAGCGGGGAGTAAAACAAGTTCAATGCAGATGCAAGAACCTTGAGTTAGGTTATCTAGACGATTGTTTGACAAAGGCTGGTCCAGGGAGATCCTTTCAGACAGATTTTCCACTTGACTCGTCTGAGGAGCTATTGTTTGTCGCTTTTGCATATTTCCACCTTTTCCAGAAGAATTGGGAGTCAAACTGAATAATTGAGGGAGCTTCAGCGCAGGCGGACTAGCTGAAACCTTGTCAAGCTGAACATTAGACAGTTTTGATGTCACCTCTGTAACATCATCAGAGCTACTTTCCTGGATAACACGAGAAATTCTGTAAGGAACATCAGATATGTTTAAACACTTGAAAGAAACATATTCACTAAATAATTACCAGCATCCTCCCACTGGCCCAAGAGTGAATAGGTGAAGTGGCTAGACCATGATGTCTTGAGAAGGAAGGCAGAGTGGAAGGAATACTATTAACTTTCTCTGTAAACTCTGATATTGACTTTTGTATGGCTGGAGCAACTTCCTTCAGTTGGTTAATAAGCACCTGTACATGCAGAACATTGGATGGGACTCTATATCATACGATCCGTTAAGCATGTAAAAGTAGCAGATTGCTATCTTTCCTCTATATCACACTATCATACTTTATATCAACTTGATACAGGTCTGCAAAAGCACATTGCAGATATATAGAATCATAGCATCAGTAGAGGAAAACATGTGTCCACTTGTGTGTGAATCTGGTCCAACTCATATTCTCAGTCTTTTAAGTACCTAAAGCTGATTGACTCCACTGCATCTCTCATTTATTGAAAAATATACTCTGATAAACAACCTTGGGGCATAAACATCCTCCAATAAGCAAGGGGAGTTAAGTAACAATTAAAGGCCGTATGCATGATAATTTGGAAAAGCTAACAAAAAATGAGCCTTCTTTCATAAACAAAATCTGTGCAAGTTTTTGACATTCAAGTTCATTAACTTGCATCCTTCTTTTACACTAGATGTTTGAATAACAGAATCTCCCTTTCATTGAGCCATGAATCCCATGCATAAGTTTTTTTTTTTTAATAAAAAGTTTGTATGGATCAATTTAAGTACCGAGGGGGTGCCACCATAGTGCCACCCATTTACAACATTTACAGATCTATTAACATATCAACAAGTTCCGCAAAATCCTCCATAGTGCCCAGAGGATAACCCTATAACAAATAATCAAGGGTATGCAACCATCTATTTCTTTAAAATTCAAAACCATTAGTGTCATCAACCCCCTTAAAAGCCCTCCTATTCCTCTCTTTCCACACAACCCAAAAGTCAAGCAAAATGTTTGAGGGAATAAAACACAACAAAAGCAGACTACATCAACTATATTGTTACCCCAGATCAAAGCTTACAATTTCATGATACTATTTATTGAGGCTTAAAACTGAAATTACAATTATTCTTAAAAAAATTGAAATTACATCAAATTGCCACTAACATGCCATGAGATTTCTACATAAAATGAAAGAGATTTACTTTCTTTACATGCTCTTTGTAGCTCTTACACTTTGAAATGATTTTCAATCTATAGTGTTGATTAGCATAATTTATTATTTAAATATTTTATTTTGTTATTTAATTAGTTACTATATTAGAATTTTATTAAAATAGTAATCTTATATAATTAGAATTATAATAAAATAGTTATTTTCTAATTATTAGTTTAAGAATTCTATAACTACTCATGTGTAATAACCTAAAAGGTGAGAAGAAAATTATTATTTTTTCTCCAAATTCTATATGGTATTAGAGCAAAATAAAGATATTTTGGAATTTTATTTTTAGGATTTCTTTCAAACCCTAGAACAACAAAAACAAGCTGAGTAAAAAGTAAGTCAGACCAGAGGAACAGAGCAAAAATTTGGGAAAGAAGGTCAGATCAAAGGAAGGGGGAAATCAGAGCACCAAGGTTTCCTTCTTCTTCAGCTGCGCGCAGAGCCGCACAACCACCAAGGATTCCTTCTTCGTCAATTGCGCATAGAGACACGCGACAACCTCTGGTTTCTTCTTCCTCTGGAGCACTGAGGTTTTCTTCTTAAGCCGCACATAGAGCAACGCGACCACCAAGGATTGCTTTTCTGTCAGCCGCACGCAGAGACGCGCAACAACCTCTGGTTTCTTCTTCCTTCGCGCACAGAGACGCGCGAAGAGCCGATCAACACAGCTTCTTCTTCCGTTGCGCACAGAGATGCGTGAAGAGCCGATCGACCTAGCTTCTTCTTCCGCCACGAGCAGAGCCACGCGATTTGCCTCACTCCGATTGCACAGAGCCTTTGGCCACAACCTATCGGCCTTCTATCGGGCACAATCGTCCCCTTTCGCCGCATGCAAAGCCGTGCGCGGGGAATTTTTCAGGCCAACTGCATTGAGCCGATCTGAGTCGTTGAGGCGAGCCAATTTCAACCCGAGGCAAGCCGCCTGCACCAAGCCGAGCCAAGTTTCAGCCAAGCCGACCCAAGCTGTTTCTTTAAGCTGAGTTGAGCTGAGTTCAGTCAGACTGAGCCGAGCTGTTTTCCCAAGCCGAGCCATTTTCCGAGCCAAGCTGAGCCCGACAGCTAGATAGATCCGATTTTAATATTTTTCTATTCTTTTTTTACTATTTTAGTGTAGATAAAGAGATCTGTTTTCCATTATTTGGTATTTTTCTTCTTGTTTTTAGCACTTTAAAATGACATAAACAAAAAAAGTGATGGTTTCTTATTCGGATAACCCCTCATTTCAAATCAGTCCCGTAAAACTTGATAAAACTTATCTTTCTTGATCAAAATCTTATTTATTATTTATCAAGGTTAGAGGATTGCAGAGGTACATTACAGGTGATATGAAAAAACCAGATATAAGTGACTTGGAATATAATAGATGAGACTCTGAAAACTCTTTGGTAATGTCTTGGCTAATCAATTCCATGCAACTCCATATTGCACGAACATATTTGTTGCTCGATACTGCAAAAAAAATATGAAATACAATATCTCTTACACATTCACAAGTAGGTAATGACGCCCCAAATTTATGAACTCCGGAATAAAGTTCATAACACAAAGTAACTAAAGATGACTATTTCACAATATATTTCTGAACTAAGTGAATTGTGGCAAGAATTAGATTATTATCAAGACTTTCTGATAAATTGTCCTGCAGATACAGTTAAATTTCAGAAATTGATAGAAAAAAAGTGAACTTATGATTTCTTAACTAGTTTGAACACTGAACATGATCAAATACGGGTCTAAACGCTTAGTAAGGATCGTTTTCCTTCATTAGAACAAACTTATGTCCAACAAAAAGAAAGTAGACGGAATGTCATACTTTACATAGCACACGTTAAAAAAAGTGAACTAATTGCTCAGTCTGAACAATCTAAAAATATACGGATATGTGATTATTGTAGCAAGCCAAAACACACTAGACAAACTTGCTAAAAGTTGCATGTAAAACCAACTAGAGGTCGTGAGAAAAAGAATGGTGGACCTACGAGATTTCAAGAAAATTTAGTTGACAAAAGTGAAATACTTGACACACCAATAGTTAGAGCTTTTTCGAATGTGGAGATTCAAACCCTGAAGTGTATTCTGTCTCAATTTAATGCTTCATCAACTATAGGTACAACAAATCTAGTAAAATCATAATTTTCGAACAAGAAAGATT